TTTCTCAGTAGTGTTGGAGATTGATGTGAGAGAGCAACATGGCACTGGCACTGCTTCTGCCTTTGAAACACCAGGCTGTGCAGAGTGCTGTAAAAATCACATCATGACAGCATCAGCAGAAATTGGGTCTCTGCCTTTCAAAGGATGAATCTTTGCCAAGAATTTAGCAAGTCTGAAAGTCTGACCACTCACCCACTCCTTCAAAAGCAAGCAGGCAAGCCTTTGTGAAGAGGAAAAGGAGGCTGTTAGTACTTTGTGGGCTGGGCACAGGCCACAAGTGCTGAACACAAAGAGCTCCAGCTGGGAGTCAGTACCGCCAGGAATTTCCCCCCCCTCTGAATTTTCTCCCCGACTGCAGAGTCAAAGTACTGATGACTCAACTTCATTTTCCACTGAGAAGGTCCTCTTGGGAAGAAATTCAGCCTGTTGGGAAGAAGTGCAAGATTTGTCAGGCCCAAAAGATCCACCTGAGAAGCAAGTGGTTCCCAAGTGCTGCTTATCTCCAGGCCCTGGCCTTGAGGCTCACTTTCCAGAACCATCCTTGAACCCTACTATTTCAGCTCCACCTGCAAAGTCACCATGTCAGAGGACTGAAGCTGTGGATCACTCCACATGCCCTCAAATCTTAAGATAACTGTTAGAAAAACAATTATGAGACTCTCCCTCCATTCATCCTCTTGTGTCTGCCCACTCTTCACTTCTTCTTATTTCCTCATGAGATCTGGTGCTCTTTCCCCTCACACCAACATCTGCACTTTCTTTCACGTTGTGATGGATCTCCCCTGGACTCACCCTTCCCTCCTTTTACACATGTTTTCCACAGCTCCTAGCTCTGTGAAGTCAATGAATACAACTATTTGCTGCCATTACTTTAAAACAACAAAGCAGAAAAAGAAGTTATTTCTACAGCACCTTATCCTGGGCCTACCTTGCTTGCCTGCCTGTATACACCAAAAGCTCCTCAGAAAGCACAGTGCACTTGGATGAGCTACCCTTCCTCCACTGGCTCCTTTTCTGCACTCCCCAGCCAGTCCTGGTGGGTTTTGAACAACCCCTAGATGCCACATGGACTTCACAGCTGGGGACAGGATCCAAAACATTTGGTAGCTGTAGATAAGCAAAGTAAAATGCGTTGGAGTCAGCATTCTTCTGTGATCCATGGACACTGATTTAATGGAGTTCACAGCACCATAATGCACAAGCTGTTTAAACTATTGGATGAGGATAATTCAGAAAAACCCCAGAAAAAACAAAACCAGTCAGTTTTCCCCTTTGCTGCACTGAATAATGCAGAGAAAGAGGGCTCCACTCAGTCCAATGACAACATCTAACTGCTGTTAAGAATAGGATGCAGTGGTATCGTGTCAACTTTTACCACAGCTCTAGCACGAGCGATGCTATTATTGTAATAAAATTAGGGATACCTTTGTCCTACAGTGAATAGAGCCAGCATTTAAAATCAGCTATTTCTACTCCTGAAGTAAGGCTACTTATTTCCTGCAAGAACTTAAAACTGATTCACAAGACATCTTAAATCACACATAGTTACTTTCCAAATTTCAAAAGCAATGTGGTCACATCCCCATTTAACCACTGAGATCATCAGGACTGCAATATATGTGGTATTCAAGTGTAACAAGATTTCAGTGTATAGATGTTCTCCCCTGTTTTCACTTTTCCTTAATATTTAAGGTGTTATTTTTTGCAATCTAACACACTTCAGTCCTTTTCTCCTACTACCCCTTTCTTCCTTACTCTGAATGACATTTATTTCCTCTCCAGTTTTCCCTCTCTGCTTCTTCTTTGCTCATTTTATATTATTTCCTGCCTTAGCCAGCTCAACTTCAATTAGCTGTGCTCTCCACCCTTCTTTCCCTGAGATACCTGTTTTTATCCACCAGTAACAAGTAAATTTCTTCACATCTGCCCTACCTCTTTCCCTCCAGTTCTTGGTGTGGCAGCTTTTAAGGTAATGCTGCACATTCCCCCCAGATCTTGGAGTGGCACATTTAAAGGTAATGCTGTTCTTTGTGTCTCCTGAGACTTTGTCAGATCATTTACTCACTGGGCATAAAACTTTTACTGGACACCCATGCTCACACAAGCATCTCCTCTTCCAGGGATCCAAGGGGGCTGGAGGTGCAGATATGCATCAGCCTGCTGTCTCCTCTTTCCATGGGGCCTTGCCAATTTTAGAAGCCAGAGCTGGGTCCACACGGACGTGTGAGAAAGTGATTATGGGGTGGGCAGACAAAGCTCTAAGTAAGGTAGCACATGCCATGGTACAGGTGCTGGAGGCAGCAAGGAGACATCGCTGCAGCCTAGCACTCAGAGTGAATATTAATCCTGGAGTCCCTGGGGGCTGCTGGTCCAGTTTTCAGCTGCAGTCTGACATAAATTGCTGTCAACACCAGAGCAACTTAGGTAAAATCTAGTACCTGGGCCACAGTTGAGCCTTCAGTCTCTTCTGTAAATGTACTTTGGAAGACTTTGGTGACAGAACAGTCTTTGTGCATTAAACCTGGAATGTGCCTGTGCATGCCAGGGGCAGACCTAGCAGGATTATGGTAGCTGGCTAACTGTGTCTGTAACTCCTACTGCCAGACTTATAAATGGGACAGAAATTTAAACAAGTCAAAGGGGGCTTTTTTGATTTTTTTCCCTTTTTTTTTCTTCTTTTTAGCTTCAGTCAGCTGGAACCTGAACTGGGCTACACCCTGTCTGATTTCACTTGCCTGTTTCTAGTATTACTAGTGACCAAAAATACAAGCATGAACCCTGGTAAAGTGTTCTCAGCTAAGCCTGGCTGGGATGCCCCCCTTACAGAAGTGACAGAGATTGCAGACTCTGCTGCTCTGAATCACTCAGGATTCAGCAGGAAGGAGATCTACTGGTATGAATAGAGGAAGAGCAGGAGGTGGCTGTCACCTGGGAGTAAAGCCAAAGCTAAAGGTCATCAGTCAACTGATGCACTCGATTAATCAGGCAATTTATGGATGGTGTGAACCAGCTTCCCCCCTCAGTGGAGTGTTTTTGGGAAAAATAGTCCAGGAAAATGCCATATGTGAAAAACAGTTCTTGTGGGACACTGGATAACTGGGGTAGGAAAAACACTGTTTGGAGAAAGTAACCAAAAAAAGGCTCTTAACTGCACACGTAGGCCCCAGGGATGGGGGCTCCTCTATTACAGCTTCAGGACTCACACTGTCAGCCTGAATCACCAGTTTTTTGAGCAGAACAAGAAAAAAGATAAGCCAATGAATGGACTGCCAAAGAAAGCTAGAAATGACACACTTATCTGGCCACACAAAGGACAATTTTTAAGGCTGCAGCTTATACACTGTACTAGGCACCTCAGACCTAACAGGAGAGTGAACAATGTACGTAAATAAGTAAAGAAAGGAAACTTGCTCCTAACTCCCTCTAATCTTTTCTAATAAAGGTTTGTGCCTTATTTCTGGTATACGGAATTCTGAAACTTTCTGAATTTTAGATCCTTTTATTTTCCTGTATGATTTTAAAACTGAGAGGGCTGTGCTCATGTGTGATGCCCCTACTCTCTGAATCTGAGACTGTACATCCATAAAGCAAGCACTTAGTGGGATGAAGTAATTTTGCACAAGTAGTAGCTGATGTTGCCAACTTGATAAAACTGCATGTCCTTGTCGAGAAAAGGCTTCAGAAACAGGAGGCAGAAATGGTACAACTGGGATGACATCCTGCAACTGGGTAACCGTGATGTAATGCAAATTCTCCATGGCACCATGGACCCTCTGGCTGCAAGAAGGGAATTTAGACCAAGGAAGTGGGGAGCGGCATGCAAGAAAGTGTTCACAATTTGAGAGTGCAGTTCCATTTGAAGAGCAGCATGCTCCCAGACTCAAGTGTTTTTTTTGGTTTTTTTTTTGGTTTTTTTTTTTTGTTTTTGGTTTTTTTTTTTTGTTTTGTTTTGTTTTGTTTTGGCTTTTGTTTTAGTAATACTATGGGTTTTGAATGACATTTGAAATTTTTTGATCATGTAGCACAATAATAGAAAAATTAGCAGTACAACGGTCATCTTCATACGCAGAGGCCCCATCATCCAAGCATGCACTGACGGAACAGATACGAAATCCTTCATGGAATAACAGCAAATCATGGGCAGGCACCTTCTTCCTTGTACGTACAGTAACCAGCTTGCTGCCTCGGTAAAAGCCGTGCTGGTCCAGTGCCTTATCAGAAGAAGCACTTGCTGTAAATCCCTTTTTCCAGAAGCCTTTGCTCCGTTCATAACCAGGAGTGGGAAGGCCCGGCACGTCCAGCGCGGCGCCGCGGTGACTCCTCCGCGCCGTGGGGGGCGCTGTGCGCCCGGCCCCGCTCGCCTCACGCAGCACCGCCGGCGCATCCTGCGGCCCGACACGCGGTCAGGAAGTCGGACGACCTCACTCCCCCTCCTCTCCTTCCTCCTCCTCCTCTTCTTCCTCCTTTTCCGTCTCCTCCTCCTCCTCCGGCCACGCCCCTCCCCGCCCGCTCTCAGCCAATCACCGCGCCAGCTTTCGGTCCCGGCGCATCTCCCGCCCCTTTAGGGGAGCGCCGGGGCTCCTGATTGGCTGCGGGGTCGGGCCGCGCGGCGGGAGCGGCGCCGAGCGCGGGGCGCGCTCCCGGGCAGCGCGGCGGGANCGGAAATGCCGCGGCAGGGACAGCGCAGGTAACCCGGGTGCCGGCAGGCATCCTCCCCTCCGTGCCCGCCCCCAGCGAGGGAGCCTCGCCCCGGCGGCCGCGCCTCCGCTCCGGGATACCTCCGCACCTGGGACGCGCCCGCCGCCGGGAGGATGGCACAGCCCGCGGCGGAGGAGGCGAGTGGCTGCGCCGCCGCCGCTGCTGCCGCACCGGGAGACGACGGCGAGGAGATGAACGGCAGGAAGGTGGCTCTGATCACCGGCATCACCGGGCAGGTAACGGCGGGGGCTCCCCTCGTTCGCGTGCCCTGCCGGCGGCGCAGGGAGAGGGGATGGGATGGGATGGGATGGGAAAGAGCCCGAGGCGCCCGCGGGCCGGCGTGGCTGGGGCGGTGGGGGGCTCGGCGTGGGTTGCCCGGCGCCTTCGCTCCCGGGCCCCGGGGCACATCCCCACGGGTGCCTTCCCAGCCCGGTGCCCGCTTCCCTTCCCCGCTGGTGCCGCCGGTTCCGCGCCCGGCTGGAGCTCCGTCCGCCAGCCCCCGGCTGGAGCTCCGTCCGCCAGCCCCCGGCTGGGTCAGAGGCGGCCAGACCACCTCGTGGGTAGGACTTGTCTGCCCCGCGGGTCTGTAGTGCTGTTCAGCTGGTGTGAGCGAGATGGGGTGCAGTGCTTTTTTTGTCTCGTGTCTGGACTGTCTTGTAGTAGTCTGTAGCAGGAATTCATGAGAAGTCAGCTAAACCTGAGCAGGGATGAGGTGTGAAGTGAGCATCGCTGAAAAAGGAGCAGCACCTAGGAAAGACAGCACAAGGACCCAGTGCTGGGACTCTTCATCCCGACAATCTGCAGTGGGGAAGGTACCAGAGCAGGCCGGTGTTGGTTGCATCCTGATCAGGCTTGTCACTCAGAAGGGGTGCTTGTCACTTGCCACTGTGACACACTGGGCAGCCATGCATTTACAGTCAGTACCTGCTTCTGTGTGTGTGATTCATACTGAAGCCTGAATGGATGACAAAAGCGTTTCCCCAGGCCACCTGTTTTGTATTTGTGTACGTTCATTGCAATCTCCAATTTTTTTGGCTATATTACTCATAGGGATAATGATGCTCTCAGAGTCCTGGTGCTTTGAGCAGAAGGTGCAGGAGAAAGATGGCATGGAAAGAGAAAGAAATCACAATCTCCCTTGGAGCAACTTCTCCATGATGAAAAAAGATATGATGGTGGTGAGTTATAACCTGGTGAGGTGTGCAGGAGGGTTGATATGTGCACTTTGTAGCTTGTGCTGCTGCACTTCCAGTAGGCAGCTGGGATAGTTTGATGGACTGTTTGTGCACACAGAGATCTGCATTGCTCTGTCTTTGCTGGCAAGTGGGTGCTAAATGAAAAGTTGTCCTGGACATGCTTACTCATATTTGAGGAACATCTTATTTGCAATGTAGATACCTCCCACTACCTGGAACAATTTGCTCTCCTTCCACATTGCTTATCTCCAGGAACATGCTGGTACTGAATGACTTCTGCTTGGAGGGTGTATCTCCTGTGATTGGTATAACTTGTTAAGTAAGTAATGTATAGTAGCCATTAAGGCTCATTTTAGAATCCCAGTGGAACAGCGTTTTTTCTTTATGGCTTGCATTTAGTCAGTGACAGCTTCATACATGGAAGAACTTCTTCCCCTTCAACTGTGACTTGTTCTGGTGTATTTGCAGATCCACTGTGAGGTGCTGGTGTGGATTGTTGAGAAGTCCATGAGCACTGTGAAAAAGTACATGTCAAAACAAACATGTTGCTCTTTTACCCTGAGACAGTCAATGCTGTCTCTATTTTATAGTGGAAGAACCAGTGGGCTCTTTGGGAGGGAGTAAATCCAGAGACTAGCTTTTTGTCTGCAGTCTGGGAGAACCTGCACTGTGATTTGAACATTCACCTGCTGCTTGTGTTTCACCTCATTATGCCTGGTCATGTGTGTTCTTGCCACACTTTTTGGTCCACACTCTTCTCATGGGTTAGCAGCTGTCTGCCAAGAGCAGGTTGGGGAGAACCCTCCAAGGAGCTGTCTGACAAGGAGATGTAACTATGTCTGACAAAGGCAAAAACTAGCGATCGCTGTGTACTAACACTTTTGCTTGATGTTTATTTCTAGCAAGAGCACAGTCAGAGCTTTCCCAAGGACTCCTTTGGTGCTGTGTGAAAAGTCTTCCAGGTTGTTGGCAGAAGTGCATTTCTCTTCATCAATGATAGTAAGTTAGAGGCCTGTAGCTACAACACCACAATTCTTTCAGTAATGTGTTGTCTATATTACTTTGTTTTCAAAGCAGCTCATCCTTCTTAGCTTAACTTTTCACAGGCATATTATTTATCATTAGAACATGTGGAGAACCAGAGCTAGGAAAGGCCTTTGTAGTTCTCCATAGTTCTGAGATCTGCTGCCAGGATTTCTGGTCCATCTATTTTCTTAGATAAATTTTAAAGAAACTAATGTACTACTTGTTCCTTACCCCTCTTTGAAGAGGCTCACCCAGAAATGGGAGATTTGGATTTTGTTTCCTGTGTGAGAAAGGGAGACTTGCATCTCCCTGTCCCTGAAGAAACATTGCAATGTGTTTTTAAACTTGTACATTTCACACATGGTAACTAAGTATGCTGAAGTGGAAGCTGGAGCTCAGGCTTTGTCTCTCCCAGGCAATTATTTTAACAACTATGCTAAAGAGTATTGGCCTGTTTCAAATTCTTCCTTTAACTGGTGCTCTTTCAAGGTGGGAGATTAAGGCTTGGATCTCTTCAGACTGAAGGTGTACAGAATGGAATTGGATGGTTAACTCCCCTTATTGAAACTGTGCCCTTTCTGCTACAGCAAAAAGCGAGCTGGTGCAGTTGCATTGTATAAGGAACCTGCTTTTGTTTGTGTGTGGCCACTGTACTCTGACAGTGTTTGCTGAAGTAATGCCCTGTAGGGCCTGGCACATAAGGATAGGTGAAAGATAAGTATTGAGCTCGATGCGGACCATGACGGTTTTGGGCATTTGTGGGGTAGGATTTTTGTTGTTAGAGTACAAATGGGCCAAGTGAGGTGCTGCTTGAACTGGAACAGCCCTTCCTGAGTTGAGAGGGTGCCACAGCAAGTGTGCTTAATCATATCAGACAGCTCATTATTTTTCAGAACTTCTGTGTAACCATGAACATGTGGATTGTTCACCTTTTCCACTGACAAAAGCTAGGGTTTTCTTTCTAGGATGGAGAAAGAGTTGAGCTCGGACAGTTATACGTTGATAATGGAGCAATTGACTGATGATGCAGCTTTTAACTGAAACATAACATAGAGATATGGCACAACTGAAACTTCTGATTAATGGACTTTCAGTGGGGTTCATGAGACTTTACAGCATGTGAGAGAAGGATGGGCTGTCTGCACAAGTTCTTCTGTTTAGTGAGACACTGGAGGCACATGCCATTTGCCAGCTTTACTTCACCTGTTAATGAAATCAGTTCAGGTGACTTGCATTTCTTCTAGATAGAAGACATTTAGAGGACAGATAGCTGCAAGGGTGAATGTGTTACTGATAAGGAGGTGAGTTTGACCTCTGGCCAAATGATAGGAGGAATTTGCTGCATGCATGGTGAAGCCACAAAGGAGAGCACGTTTCATAATTCCATGATCAGGACTTAAATGGCATTCTGGCTCCAAGGGCTGAGCCTTAGTTTCTATTAAATCAAAGCAGATGTATCAACCTCTACAAATTCTGCATTCACCCTTGGAGTTATAGTGAAATCAGTATCATTCTAGCACTTGCATTGCTGATAAGAGACTCTAAGCATGTAGGCAGTAGTGTTATATACTCCTTTTGCAGTATTGAGATTTCTCTTATCTTTCTCACACCACAGCAGTGGGACGAACCACATTTCACTGTTTTTCTAAAATGACTTCCAGAGTGAGGCAGTTGGTGTGGTTAGATGGATGAAACATTTCTGATGTGTCATGTGGGTATTGGTCTGCTGGTAGACTACTTGTGAGTAATGCATAGCACTTTTTTCTTCATTTAAAGAGAAGTATTTTAAATTAAACAGGTCTCTTGTATGTAAGTGAAAATACTTTTTTTTAAAAAAATCTCAAACAGCTTGAATTTAACAGAGTGTTTTCACAATGCAAAACAAACGTGTTGGACTTTTCAAACCTTGGTAACTTGAAGAGTTACTCTGTAAAAATGGAAGTTTTGAATCAAATACTAGTATTGCTAACAACATAATTCTAGTTAAGCAAACGTGGCTTGTTGCTTATACCAGGAAGCCACCAAAACAGTACACTTTTAAAGCATTGTTTTCTGGAGCTTGTGACTAAATATCTGTTAAAATTGCACTTAAATATATATTCAGGATGTCTGATTGTACTGCAGTCAGTCTGATTGTCTTTCTTATACTGATACTTGTGGAAATATTCAGATATTTGACTTCTTGGAAAAGTACCAAGAAATCATCTGTCTGAGCCTAACTATGAGGTTATATGTTGATGTTCTGCGTTTCCCAATTTGCCCCTGGATTTTGAGCAGCAAATTATATTTATCTTCACCTGGTGCTTTTCTAGGAGAGGCAGCAAGGTAGACCAAGGTAATTCAGCAGGCACTTCAAAGCTCGGTTTAGTATGAAGCAATGCATTGGAGCTCAGTGTCAGTACATGCCCTGAGGCTACTGCAAACGGCGGATGAAGGGAGCAGTGGTGTCTGCCTTGTGAGAGTTCTTACAGCAGCAGTACTAGCCTCAGCCTCTGCCTTCCTTTGCCTGCAGTTCTGTCAAATACATTTGCTTCTATTTGGCAAAACTTAAGGCAGCAACCTCGGAGCTTTCAACCAAGCCTGAGGGGAGCTTAAAGAGTTGGGTCTGCCTCTGTCCTTTGTCTCGAAAGTTCAGTTGCTTACAGCCTTTGCTACTCCTCTAACACACCCAACCCTTACACATCCTTACTGCAAGTGTCATGCCACAGTTACAGTTCACAGTTGGAGAAAGATTAACTGTATCAAGAGGGGGAAAAAAGAAGATACTGAGAAAGCAAGATTTGCTGTTGTAAATTGAGGTCAAGTTGTTTGGTTTTTTAAAAATTTGTCTGTTGAGGTGAAACTGAGCAAGACAGACTCAGTGGGGCAAAGTACAGTAATAACAAAATATGAGTCATTGCTTAGGATTAAAAAAAAACCTGAAATGAGTAGCTGGTTTATAGTCATATACTATAAAACTCTTTGGCACTCTGTGGCTAAAATAAAATAAATGTTACTTGGAGAAGAGGAAACAGTTAAACAATATTTATGAAAGCTTCTTTCAGTATTGTGATCAAACTGTGAAGTGGGAATCTGTGTCACTGGAGAACGTGTGTATACTTGAAAAACACAGGTAGAGAAACATTATAGCCTGTTGTACCAGAGACAGGATGTTGGTTTGCCAGGAGAAGGATAAAATCGGAGGGATTGGTTTTTCACAATGAAATAGGAGGAGAATCTTTGCTGAAACTGGCTAAAGGTAAATATTAGCATTGCTGCCATTTCATTAAAACAAATAGTCTTAGTTTCTGAGTAAAGCTAAATATTAGTATTGCTGCCTGTTCATTTAAACAAATATTGTCTTGTTCGAAGCCAAGTACTCCATTTCAGTTTCTAAGTAGTCAAGAGTTGTCTTGAGTGAGGAGTGCATTGAACATCCTTATCATAGTTTGAGGATGCAGAGAGGTAGGAACACTGAATTTGGCCACAAACTTAAATGAAAGAAACTCCTTTTAAACATGGGAGGGTATGTGGATTTTTTGGAGTGGCTTTTATTTGACTGGTTTATTTTAAATGATGTGGGTGTCAAGCACAGAAGAAACTGACTATAGAAGGTGAGTGTCTGTCCCTGGAGGTACCCAAACCAAATTGGACATGTTACACTTGTTGACCCTGTCTTCAGCAGGGATCTTGAACTGCACAGAGGTCCCTTTCAATATAAGGTTGTATGATATTATGACTACTCCACAGGATTGGAAGTGGAACCACCTGCATTTTGTGACAAGATGGCATAAGGGGCTTGTTGAAAATAATTTGCAGCAAATGAGTAGCGGCTCTGGCAGGAAACTAAACTTTCCTAAAATATAATTCCAGGTATTTTCCCTTTACAGGATATAAATGAGAAGTGCTGCTATTGATTGTCACGCAAAACTCTTGAGAAAAAGGTATTTTTCTGAGTAATGTAGTATAACAAATACTGAAATGGCAGACTAGAATATTTTCTGAAAACAGAGACCCTATTTATACAAAGATGCCTGACTTTTGATTGCCTTGACTCCCTTTTGGAAAGGGAAGGGCTATTAGATAGACTAATTCAACTTCTGCATTAATAGCCATCTGTAAATACATGGTTCAATGCTTTACTCTTTCATATGGTTTATACTCTACACCAGTATGTGCAGATTGACAGGGCTTTTGTCTCCTTCTAGGACTGGGAGTCCAGGACTTTGGTTCCTCTCTGTGCCTGCCTGGGGGTAGCCCATCTGTATTCCATTGCCTTTCAGAATAATGCAGTTAGTGATGGCATTTGAACATAAGTTACCTGGAAGATATTCACAACAAAAAGTATTACTGGTACAGGATTAGTTCATGTGTGCCTTTATTTATTATCTTCCTTTTTTTCTTTCCACCTTTGCACAGCTTTGCTCAGTGTTTGTGACTGCCAGTGAAGTCTGTTCTTTAGCTGCTTACTGGAGAGGGAAGTTCTGGTAGCCTGGCTCAGTCAGCAGACTTTCAATTCAAGGACCAGTGCAGGCAGTCCGATTCCTTGTGTTTGAACATTATGTATGCAGGATGTGGATCGAAAAGCATTGAGAGCAACCAGTGAATCATAAGGTGCTGTATGCTGTGATGTGTACCTGCTGTGAACATGTTCCAGGAAAAAGAAAATGCTGAAGTTCATGTTGATGGTGCTGAGGTATGAAACAGATCTACTCATGGTGACCAAATAGGGTTTGGGAAGATGAGTTCTGCCAGGCAACATTTCTCATGACATCTGATGCTGTGGTTAGAGGGCTATTTGACATTACTGCTTGGACAGTCCAGGGGAACAGAATACCCCATTGCCAGCAGCATGCAGCTTGTTTAATCTTTAATTGTTTTGGGATTTTTAAATTTAATTTAGACTGGTGATTGCCGGCATAGACAGAACCTTTAGTTCTTTATTTTCTAAAGTTTTAAAGAGCTAGAGCCTCCTCTTCTCCATGTACCTACAGCCAATCCAATCTGAATCGTGAACTCTTGTAAAAATCTTTTCTATGTGACTTGATCTTCTACCACTAAATTTTGGTATTTTTTTTTCCCCTCTGATTATCTCTTTCAGATCCTTTTGTCTGTTGAGCTTTCTGCACAAGGGAGTCGCTTTCTTAGAAAATAGATAGCTATGCAGAAGGGCAAGGAAAAATGGAGTACTTGAACCTGCTGATGGCCTATGTGAGAAACACATCAAAAGCTACCACTGTGATCCCTCTAAATAATAAATAAAAGGTTGAATAAAAGGCTTTTCAGTGCAGTTGTGATACTGGTGTTCATCGTAGTGGTGCTTCCTGTTGCTCAAAACAGGACACCTTGTCTTTGATGAGTACCAAGTCTGGGTTTCTTTGGACTTGCCTATGCTTTCATTCAGTCTGGGAGGCAGGAAGTACTTTCTTTCTCTTGGCAATTCCTAGCAACCTTATCCCAACTTCTTCAGACTTCTGGGTCTGGAGTAGAGTCCTGATTAAGTGACTGTTCTTACAAGCTTGTCAGCTCGGTTTCTCCTACACTGTCGCAGCACAACTCAGGCTTATTTTGGAAAGCACGGCTTCCTTGAAGCACTGGGTGGATGACGGCACAAGAGCAAGGCGGCAGCGTGGTCGATGTCCAGCTTCCTCTTCCACAGGTGTATGTTCTCTCTTGCTCTAAATCTCTTCTTGCTACTTTGGTTGCTTTGTAGCCAAGGAAGCAAAATAAAAAGATTTTCTTTCCCTTTAATATTTTTGTCACCTCCTGCCTCTTTCATATGAATGCACTGGTTGTTTTTTCAGAACCTCAGCTAAGGAATTCCTTTGGGTCGTATGTGTGTGATCTGGAGGATGCAGTTATGTCCAAATCTTTCAGTTAAGCAAAACCATAGAAGGTGAGGTGAAAGAGTGGAATTCTCTCCAGTTTCCTGTTCCTATTACTGGCTTGTTCCTTTTGAGGGTGTTCACAGGCTTTACAACCTAAATCCACAATGAAGCTTTTGTAAAGCCTGCCAAACAAATTGATCTGAACTGGCTTATCTTTTGTCACCTGTGCTTTTCACATGTGTTAAGCAACTGAACCTCCTCATATGCAACTTGAATGTTGTGTAACCATTTTAAGTTAGTCACAAATACACACAAATCAGTATACCCAAGGCAGGCTTCCTTCTTCAGGAGTATTTCTTGTTAGTTTTTTTTTTTTTTCTTAACGGGAAATATGATTTTTTCCTTGTAACTCAGTGTCATTTGACAGTAAGCAAAGTAAGTGTAAAAACACATCCATTGACTTTTATATGGCTGTTGTTAGTTCAGTGATAAGTGCCATTGAAGGCATTAGATACTGTGTACCCTGAGACAACTCCAGTTTGATGAATAATTTTCATAGTGCAGTCAAAGTTACTTGTGATATTATCAGCTGCTTCTTTGCAATGCTCAGCTGAGCACACTGGTCCAACAGGCATGTCAGCTACAAAGAGATGCTTGCCTTGGATGTGGAATGCCATGCATCTTGGACTATTGCAAGGAGTATCCAAGTAGATAAACCATCTTGTGCTGCATTTGCTGAGCTTGAACACCTTTGAAATAACAGGAAAAATTATGCTTGTTCTAGAAAAATCTGGCTAACCACTAAGTGTAGCAAGATATAGTAAAATTTTCTGCAGGGCTTTGCTTCAGGTGCCATTTGACCAATTTACTGCTGCTTGGAAATTCTTCTCAAAGAAGAGTTCCTACAGCCTGTGTGGTGAATTCTAATGCAGAAGGAAAAAAATTATACCATGTTAAGTGTCTAGGTGAGCACTTTTGCTGTAATGAGAAGATGCCTTGTTTCTGCTGCATATCTGACACTTGCACAGCTGTTAAAGAGGTGCCTCCTGGCTCTTGATAAATGGTAACTGGCTCTTTCAGGTAAATGGTAACTGTTTCTTTGTATTCAGAGGCAGTCTGAGATAGCATGTCACCAAACTGCAAAGGAAGCCTTAAACCACCCAACCCAGAAAAAGGTAGATAGTTTTTTTTATTTGTATCCTAGGATGTCTGAAGCTGTGCCAGAAGTACATTGAAGACATTTACCACTTTATGAATGGAAATAAGCCTTTCCCAAGGTGTATAGATTGGTATATATGCCTTGCAGAAAACAAAACACAAAGTCAAGAAGGAAATACTTCTGACTGCTCCTATACATATTTTTTTTCCTTTTTTTTTCCTGAGTTTTATGTTTCTGACTTGATATGCTGCAGTCCCTTCTGACTTACTCTTTCTATAAACTTCTGCTGGTGCTATTCTGGAACTGGGTAGCAATATCTGACTGTTTAGGTTGCTATTTGTCAAATTACAGGCATGCTGTCAGGAATGTAGTTATTTTGTTTATTTTTTTTTCCTAGCATTTGCTTGGTCCACGAAGAATCTCTTCAGATGCATTAGCAATGGGTGGCTTCATCAGTGATGCTGGTGATGACCCATAGCTTCCTCTAAATTGAGATTTCTCTGTTGAAAGGATAAGAAACAGAGACCATATCTTTGGCTGCTGATTGTTGTCCTTGCTTTTTTTAGCACTGATACCCTCTCTAAGAGCATAAACATTACTGTGGAGCATGTTTGGTTTTGAAAGATGAAATTTCTGGGTATACTGTCTGGATTTCATACAACTAAATAATTGTGGTTTTGATGTCAGTGTAATTCTTTCCATGATTACACAGTAATAGTCTGTCAATGTATTCCTGCCAAAACTTAGCATGCTGTTTGCCTCTGAAGTTAAATACTATTAAAATACTACAAGATAAACAGTACGAAAGGGATACAGAAGTCCTCAAGCCTGCATGCAAAATACTGTACTCTTCCATCTTTTAGGTATCTCTGGTGTTTTAGGTATCCATCTGCTCAATGGGAATGCTTAAAAAGGTGCAGCTGAGAAGCTTGTTTGTGGCTGTTACTGGTCAAGCATTGCCCTGCTGGAGTCCAAGCCTGGTCTTTGTGAGCAGAACTTCACAGCCTCTTGTCTGAAAAGTGGTTTTGAAATGATAATGGAAGCTGATCCAGAATCTCGCTGGTCTTTGAAAAAGCAGTGGGGACCTGTGGCTGTAGATCTGCAGGCTCAGTAAAATATGTAATTTTATTTTTGAAGGCAAAATAAAGCTGAAGAATTATTCTGATATGTGAAGGCAAGAAAGTTACAAAGACTAAGAGCTAAACTTTGCTTTATGCCCTTGCTAGTCCATTTTAGGAAAACAGTCATATTTGCAGCTGATCTGAGACTGAAAAATTATAACTGTGTGGTTTTGCTTCATGTTTTTTATTTCTTGTGGTCATCTGATATACATTCTATGTTCTTATTGCAGCACTTTATATAGTTGAATATATCGTGTAACTGTGTAAGTTCTTTTTCTGCATTTTTCAGTGAGAAGATTTTTTTTTTACTAATTTGAGAGATTTTCATTATTCAAGAATAAAATAAGAATCTTAAGACTGACTGCGTCTTCAAAATTACACTGGCTGTATTTTCATTGGTATTATCATTGTCTTTTCACACAATTGATGCTGGATCACTGTTTAATAATGTATAGAAGCCATCTTTGTAGAAATGCATTATTATGCTGCTATTTTTGATTTGTGAAGTCTGGCTGGAATTTCAAATAATTTCATTGCCTGTAGCTTTACTTGTTTAAACATTAGGAGAGATGAGATTATTCTTAAAATTAGAGAGTAACTCAAATGGGAAAATATTGATCACTAATTCCTTTTAGAGTACAATTCAGCTTTGTCACGTGCAAACTCTTGGTTTTCCTCATATTAAAGGATCTCACATCTGTCTGCTGTCTTGATCAGCTGAAAACAGGTGCCACATAGACTTGGCAAATTGAAAGCAAATTCAAGACTACAGAAATTCCCTAATGATGCCATGGTTTTGATTTTGATAAATTAAGAGAACTGCAAAATGATGGTTTCAGTTATTTTTAGAAGACATGAAGGTGTGTAAAGCAGGAAATAAGAGTGTGCACATGCATTTGAAATGCATTAACTGACGGGGAAGCTGTGTAACAAGTACCTGCAGTGGTGGACAAAGAGCTTACTCTTGATACTGGTTATGTAGGCTGAGTTTCTCAGAATTACTTGGTGTGACTTCAAAATGTGACAGTGAACTTCCACTAATTAGTTGAATCCAATTAATTTCCTTTATATAAGCAGGTGTTGCTGGTGACGGATTCTGTCATCTTAGCTGGGAACCTTCTTGCTTAACTGTTTCAACACCTGAGCAGGTTGTCTAGGCAGCTGTTTCAGTGAGTGAGAGCCCAGACTTATTTAAGCAAATGCAGGTGCCTACTTAGGCTTATAGCCAATACAATTCACAGCACCTGGCTTCCCTAGCTGCTCTCATGAGTGTGAAAGGTGCTTAGGGTGGCTACCTGATGGGACTTACACTTTTATTGTCCTGAGTAGCACCTCATCTTGCAATGAGGAAGCATTTATTTTATACAAAGCACTTTGCAGGATAAACAAAGGCGATGGAATTTGGTTACTGAAATTGTTTTTTTCTAGTAAAAAAATCATATTGCACAGTAAATGTGTTTATATGCAATTAAAGATGTGGAGTCTAAGTACTTTTACAGGTACTGTAAGGTAGCTGCTTTGGAGTTAATCCGAAGAGGAACAGTGCTTCCAAACCCGTTTGCCTCCTGAGCATTCTCTGGACAGCCTCTCTATATCTGATCCTCTTTGTGTTTTCAGGGGTTGACCAGTGTGTTTAGTGATATCAGGCAAACTGAAAAATTAATGTCTTATGTTGCTTTCATGTACCTCTCTATTTCTGATCCTCTTTGTGTTTTCAGGGATTGACCAGTGTGTTTAATTTTTCAGTTTGCCTGATATCACTAATGTCTTGTGTTGCTTTCATGTGTGTACCATGGCTTTGATGTTAAACCAAGTTTCTAGGCAGACATTGAGTGGTTTTGCTTCCAAAAAGTTTTGGAGAGTTGGTTATTGGCTCATGGAGAGTGTGGTACTTGGCTGTGTAAGTGACTGTCCATCTTCCCCTTGTAAAACCTCCCTGTGTTTACTCACAAATGTTGGCAGCTGCTGTATTGTCTCCGTGTGTTGAAGGGCAGGAGAGGGCCAGCTCATAGCCCTGGATGGTAAGACCATAGAAAGAGTGATTCTTTTGAAGGAAGTAAAAGCCCACATTCCTAGTGAGGGTCTGTGATCTTGTGAGCCATTCAGTAAGCTGAGTGAAATGTCCCCTGTTTCATCCAGACCAGTTCTTGACATTTCAGTGCTGGTGGCTTTGAAGATTTTT